CAAACATGTTTCGTCTGTTTTCTGTTCCTCAGGTTTTATGTCGTGGTCAGGGTTACCTTTTGTGATAAGCTCGTTGAAAAGGACAAAATTAATATGTATAAGAAAACCCCCAGAAGCTGCACAGAGCTCATTCAACAGCTCCTCAAGTTACAGAACATAAACAGAAAAATACAGGCAAAAACATTTCAATTGGACACAGAGCTCTGGAAATGTACCTGAAGTGGCCTCCATTAAAACTGTGAATAGCTCTCCATCATTTCACCAACACACGCTGCCCTAAAACAGGTTCTGAGGTCTTAAGTGCAACATTCAACAGGTGACAATGGAAGCATTTTCCCCCATTCACACATTAAGAATTGGCTCGTTTCACCTTCATCTTTTCTTTAAACGATGTTTCATGTGATAATGTTATTCAGAAGATGATGTGTTTGGATTAAAATGCAAATGTTGAACCCGAGAAGGCTGAGCCTCTTAATAAAAGACAAAATACAAGAGATGAAACAAGATAAACTCCTATTAAGAGCTATGCTAAACACGTCTCTCATTGTTTCCTGAACATCTTTTGATCATAGGAGGGCATTAGTCTAAATCTTTTAGCATCATTTTATTTGTTTATATTAGTTTGCAAGACTTTATTTCATTTTTTTTTCTTTTAATAGCAGTGATCCACTCTCACAGTGTTGCATGTCATTATGTGTACCTGATTATCTGATGGCTCTCTGGCACCATCCTGTGTTTCAGTTGGAATAATGGATTTGGCACATTGTGCAAATAAAGCTTTTTTTCTGAACAGTTGAAAGATAAAAATATTTATATTTTTCACTATGAAAACAACACATAAAAGCACACATATCAGCTGGTGATCATTGGGATCTACTTTATTAACTTATGTCACAATAAAAGCTAAACTTCCACCTTTATCGCTTTATTAATCACTCTCTTTATGTCTCTTCTATTTTTTCATGTGTTTCTTCTTAATCACTTAATAATCAATTATTCCTCTAACCAGATATATTGTAACTAGGGAAGGGACTAGATGCTAGAAGCTGAAGACACAAATGACAGGTGATCACACCTTTTTTTCAGCCACTGATTTGATTTTATTTTCTTCAGCTTTTACCTTACTGCTGTATGTTCAATTGTTATTGGACATATATTTAACACAAACCCAACAAACCTTAGCTCCAACAAATGAACCCAACTGAGCAGATTTGTGACAACTAGCAGGCAGTATTCCAGCTTCACTGTGATCTTCAGAAACTCTGCTTTTCTTCAAATCTATCCAGTCTTAGCCATTCTGTCAAGAGTATCTGGTGCAAAAACACCATAATGCTTCAAAATAAATCTATGCAACCACAATCAGTCTTTTATATTTGCTAATTTACTTGCCTTTTTTGTTTTTATTTCATTAAACTATTTAAAGAAGCCCTTAGCTGAAGGCTGTTCCTTACCTTCTCCGATTGTATCTTTGATCTGATTTAATTGGAAATTGGTGTGTAAGAGATGTTCTACGCACAACATCCCAGATTTTTCAAATGTAAAACCATGACAAAGAACAAAATTAGTAAATGCATCTGTACAGATTCATGCTCATTCACTACAGTCTAAATGAAATCATTTAAGTGAGAAGTGATTTCACACAAATGCATTTGACTTGAAGAAATTCCACTGGCTAATCCTGTTGAAAGCAGTGAACCTTGTATGATCTGTTGTGTGAATAGCTGACTACACACACAGGCAGTTTTCTCAAGAAGCCACAATTCAGAAATGAATCACATCCTATGAATCAGTGAAAAAGAGTTGTGTTCACCAATATAGAGTACATCTAAGACAATAAAGAGACAACAAAGATATTAAGTTTATTCTAGCTTAATGCCTTGAGTTTACTCTTCCTTGTCACAGATATACTGTATAAATTATTGCAAACACTAAATGAAACATACATAAAATCTTTAGAGTGAATGTGTAAAAACAAAACAAAAAAAAACCCTCTTTATGTTGTTTCAACTCACATGATCTCCATCCTACTGGAATGCATCAGGAGTTCAGGTCAGAAGACTAAAGGATCAAAGGTCTCCCACATTATGAGCATTTATGAAGACTGTGGTGTCTCCTCCAATGACAGCAACTTGTAAGAAAAACCTTCTTGAATCATAGTTATGTCTGAAGGGCAGTTTAACGTGATAAAATTTAACACGATAGAGAGATCTTATCTGTTAGTCCCTATGTGACCACTAAAAGAAAACAGTAATTCTTTGCACGGTAATGCTGAAAACAAGGAAAATGACCTTATTGTTTAAAAAAAAAAGCTTTATGAGAAATTATTGAATTTATTGGTTTTTGCAGTGGTTTTTGAGCATCTACAACTTCACAATTCATGTAGCTGATTGCTTTAGTCCCAAGTTCATTACATTGATATGAAATGTTTTCAACAAAATCACTTCTACTTCTACATCACTTCTACTTTCACACGTTAGGATTTGGACAAAGAGATGTAAGAAGGAATAAAAACTGCTTTATTTACTTCAAAAGAGATTATCATTTTCACCCCGAGCAACATTACTGAAAAGAGAAAAAGAACACAAAGTTTCTAAGAAAAGGCAATGAAACCTTCTATTATTAAAAGTAACAAAAGCTGACAGAAAATGAATGAGGCTAGTGTTTGAGGCATAAAGTTAGGTTTTGTGGAAATGCTACGAGCAGTTGGTGTCTTACCTGTTGCAGATAGGTTTCTGAATGATTTCAGTTTGTATGAAAAAAGTTTAGAATTGATAAAATTCATGAGCTAATGACTACTTCAATATGAGCTGAGCAAACGTAGACTGCTGCAGTCTTAAAACAACCCCAGTTTCAAATCTTGGTATTTTATAAGCCTTTACATTTCTATTATTATTAGACTAGATTATTATCCAGAATTATGTGACTGTTTGCAACCCCAAATAGCAGCAGTAGCATTTCCCCGAAATAACTATGTAACATAACCATGTATTCAAAAACTGACTGCAGTCTAATGCTGCGTTCACACCAAAAGCGTTTTGAGCATCAGGAGCATCAGGTTTACATGCAAAGTCTATGGTGGAAACGTGTCAAGGAGCATCAGGAAGTGCTGCGGCGCGTTTAGCATGGCATGTTTTGAGCGTTCGCTGCGTGTTATGAGCAGTTGGAAAATTGGAACTTCTGCAGCTCGTTGCGGCACGTCAACCAATCGTAGAGACTCCACTGTGTGACGTTGTGACGCATTTTCTGACGGGACAATTTCCTTAATGATGTCTACTAACCTGAAACAGATGGACAGGAGCTCTTTGATGACCTGGCAGGAGATGTGGTCAGCGGCTCATCAAACYGAGCTCGGGACAAAAATAGTTCTGAAAATGAGCCTTGTGAGCCCACAGCTCCTGAGTGGTGAAACTCACCAAACTCAGCACGTCTCTGAATTATCTGGTGAGTGCGACTTGCTCTTGCTCTCAGTAAATAAAGCAAAGCCACTTTCTTTATTTCATCCGCCATTAAACAGAGACCAGCAGAGGAGGAAAGCAAGAGGCTCTTGATGCGTGTCAAGAGTAAATTTGACTTGTGTCTGACCTCAAAGTGCACAAGTGTCCAACTTGAAGCGTTGGATACATTTTTGACTCTAAATCGTGTTTGGTGTGAACGCAGTATAAAGTAAAAAAAATAGCATTCATGCGAATCGGTATAAGATATTTGACGACAGCAGAGCACCTTTGGTTTTGGCCTCACATGGACTACTGTAAATAGGAGCTCATCAGTCTGAACAAAATTAAACTTTATTTCTCTAAACTAAAGTTGTTGAATGAACTATTTACAACAGATAAGATATAGGGTTGGGCACAATTGTATCGTGTGCAATTAATCGTCAGAAAAACACTAATCGATTACTTTTTGGCACTTGATGATTAACACGATTAATGCCATCAGGCAGAGTCTGCTCGGTGCTCCTCTCTGCTTCAAATATGATGAACATTAAAAAAGTTCTGTAATTTATTTATTGATCAACACAATTTAAAATTTGATACATAGCCTGAAGTCTGTAACTTTGACACAATTTGGAACAGTTTTGTATGAAGAGCAAATCTTTCCCACTAAATTGGTCATGTGACCAGGGCATGAGGGTGTCCAGGGACTCCAGGGGATTAATCGTCGGATTAATCGTTATCGGCTAAATACCACAATTAATCGTGATAAATTTTTTGTCAGTATTGCCCAACCCTAATAAGATATTAACATTTTTTGCATTCATGTCAATCATCAAGAGCATCATCGATCTTCGGCTGATCCGATGTAGCACTGATTGCAAATTCAGAGGCGTAACAGTCTCAGCTAAAACAGCATTAATACAGATTATTTAAATTTACAGAATAAGTAGGGTTTTTAAATACAGTTATAAATGTTTTAAAATGTGTTTATAAAGACTGATTCGGATCCTGATGTAGAAGAACTGGCCACTGGACACAAATTTATATATGTTGGTCATGTGTTCTGGTGCCTGACGCTTGTGTGTGTCATTCTTTGCAGAGTCAGTGTTTTTGTGTTTGCTCCTTCTGTTGCACACTGATTTTTTTTAAGTCACGAAGAGTCTGAAGATCAATTCAAGGTGGTCAGTCTGGAAGGGAAAAAAAGTTCAAAACAGACAAGTGCTAACAAGCTTTAAACATGTCCACACATTTCTCCCTGCATTTGAAGTGATTAGTCCCCCGTTTAGATTGAGTGGAGCTGACATGGAAACATTGTGCCGAAAGCTGGGTTTTATCACATTTTTTATTCATCTCAGATGACGACAAATGACTCAACTAAACAGAAACAAACAGAAACACTTGTCTTTTCTTTTCGGTGCATAGTATTTAGACAATATGGCCCCTTCAGACAGTTTCTTGGTATTCATCCAGATCTTGCCCCACACTGCAGCTCTGCTGTCAGGTGATCATCACAAGACCAATGGCTTAATCCTCCGCAGACCTACAAAAGCAAGAATAGACATTAGAGGCTTTCTTAATGTGCATGTAACCAGCCGGAACACAGCATGATTTGGCTTTAAAGTGTTGTTTTCACAGATGTTAACGTTATCACTCGGTCTAATTTGAAGACACACCGCTGAGGACCGAGGCTAAGTGAGATTCCACACTTTTTTGTAGGGGGAACCAATCGAGTGCATTCCAGCTAAAAGTTGATCTGCGAACTGATTTGTTACATCTGACTGGAGGAAACAAACAGGTGGAATATGATGATCGCTCTGGGGTTTGGTCTTCTGTCTTTGCTGTTCTGTTTTGGCCCAGCAGAGGGTCAATTTCCTCGTGTTTGCTGCACAGTGGAGGGCATCCTGTCCAAGCAGTGCTGCCCCGCTCTTGGATCAAATCCTGCCAACGTATGTGGGTCCCTGTCAGGTAGGGGAAGCTGTGTCACCGTACGGGTCGACTCCAAACCTTGGGGAGGACCGTACAGACTGAGAAATGTTGACGACAGAGAGAGGTGGCCGACCAAATTCTTCAATCAGACCTGCAGATGTACTGGTGAGTGATTTTCAGTTTCATGTCAGAAAACAAAGGTAGAATCAGCACTGAAAATTTGATGTCCTCTCTGTGCTATAGGGAACTTTGCTGGTTTTGATTGTGGTCAGTGTAAGTTTGGGTGGACCGGACCTAACTGTGACCAGAGAAAAGMTCCAGTGGTGCGAAAGAACATCCACTCCTTGACCCCTGAGGAGCTCCAGGACTTCTTGAACACTCTGGATCTGGCTAAGACCACCATTCACCCAGATTATATGATCGCCACGCAGCACTGGCTTGGACTGCTGGGACCAAACGGAACTGAGCCTCAGTTTGCCAACGTCTCCATCTATGACTTCTTCGTCTGGCAGCATTACTACTCAGTCAGAGACACTCTTCTTGGTAAATCTGCATTTTATTTACACAAGAAATATGTTGGTTATTTTTTTAATAAGAAAAAGGCAACATTTAAATACAACGATATATGACAAATTATATGACCGGGTTACAGTTTGCAAGAATTTGCCCTGAATGTTGAAACTTCAGATACAATTTTATTTATTTATTTATTTATTTATTTATTTTTGCGGAGATTTGTCAGGCGCAAATTTACTTGTGAGCCCAAAAATTCAAACCTAATTTTCCTTGCAGGTCCAGGTCGTCCATTCAAAGCCATTGATTTCTCCCACAAAGGTCCCGCCTTTATTACTTGGCACAGGTACCACCTTCTGAGCTTAGAGAGAGAGCTTCAGGTATGATCAAATGTTTTTATTTTATTGTATTTTATTTTTGCTGGCGGTAGAAAATCAATAATTTCATGGAGGAAACGGACAAGATCCACTGAAAACAAGTCTCCAGTTGGAACCTGCAGTTAATAATTTATATTTTATGTATATGCAGCAGTGAGAGTTGCTTCCCGTGTTTATAAATACAATATAAATAGCACTGATGACCTGGTACTTGAAATTTTCTAAGTTTTCTCAAAAGCGTACTTCCATGTTTTATGAAAGAGCTCACATTATGCTCACTTTAAATTGTATTAATTTGTCTTAAGATATGAGAAAAAATTACAAGCTTTGATACTCAGAGCACATTTTTGTGTATACTGAATATTTCTGCACATATTTCCTGTGACCTTATATCTGAACCACAATTACAGCTGTAAAGTAAGCTGTTGAGTAAAAAAACATCTACAACAGGCTTTAAATTTGTAATTCTGCAGATTTCTCAGCATAAAAAAAACTCCAAAAGAGAAAAATGATTAAACTAAATGATGGAAAAAGCAAATTTTAGACATTGCTATTCAAAATGATTACATTTTTTTCCCAATATGTTGATTTTTTTAACATAAATATGAAGAAACTTGAGTTTTACATCCATTTTTACAGTGAATATAGTCTGACTTGAGAGTTGTCTTTGATGAATGTATGGCGTGAGCCTAAAACGAAGTGATAGAATGAGACTTTTATGAATGAAAATGACTTTAAAAATTACTACCTTTGAACACTTCCTGAAAAGAGGGGAAAAATCAGAAAAGATTACTGACCATTTAACATTTTCACTCTAAGGGAAGTCAGCATTGATAAAATGCCTTTATTGTCTTTCCTTGCAGAGACTGACAGGCAACGAGAACTTTGCGGTCCCTTACTGGAACTTTGCCACGGGACAAAGCGACTGTGACGTTTGCACGGACTCTCTGTTGGGGGGGAGGAACCCGGACAACCCCTCCCTCATCAGCAACCAATCCAGATTCTCCAGATGGGGGGTGATCTGTAACAGGTTAGCAGACGGTTGAAACAAAAAAACCAGATAGAGTCCAGTCAGAACTTGCATGAACAGAAGAGTCTTTTTGTTTGGTTACCTCAGTTTGGATGATTATAACCGCTTGGTGACCCTTTGCAATGGGACCACCGAGGGTTTCATCCAGAGGGGGATGATGGAGAGAGCCAACTCATCTCTGCCCACCATGAATGACGTCAGAAGCTGTTTAGGAATTAGGGATTTTGACAGCCCTCCCTATTTCACCAACTCCTCCTTTAGCTTCAGGTATTGATATTGAATCTAATTGACTCCAGCTGATACAACATGTATATCACACTAATCTACTGTCACCTACACTTCTCAGAAATGCTCTTGAAGGGTACGACAAGCCAGATGGGGAGCTGGATGAAACAGTCACTAACCTGCACAACCTTGTCCACGCCATGCTTAATGGAACCAGTGCTTTGTCTCATTCTGCAGCCAACGATCCCATCTTTCTGGTCAGAATTCAGTCCCGTCTTTCCCACTGAAACCCTACGTTATTTACTTTTTTTTGTTTTGTTTTCCATATCCATACAACTATGATCCCTTGCAGGTGCTACATGCGTTCACCGATGCCATTTTTGATGAGTGGATGAGGAGGTTCATTCCGTCCAACTCCACCTTCCCAGATGAGATGGCCCCCATCGGTCACAACAGGGATTACAACATGGTTCCCTTCTTCCCTCCAGTCACYAATGAAGAGATTTATGTCACGTCAGAGCAACTGGGATATTCCTATGCCATTTCCTTGGATGGTGAGAAAAAACTAAAGCAAAACGTTAAGAAACTATGAGAATAGTTGGTCAAATAAACAAAGGTATTGTGCATGTTAAAAGTGCAGATAGGGGACTTCTTTGTTAGCAAACATCAAATCAACTCATTAAAGTAACAAATTATAATCATATTTTTTTTCTGCAATCATGTTTCTCCGCTTGTGTTTTCAATCCTTTAGATGCAGATGAGGGATCAGCAGTTTTTGTTCTGGGCTCCACTTTAGGAGGCGTCTTCGTTGGCCTCCTGGTGCTTCTCCTTATCTTTGTGCTCTACCTGCGTCAGAGGAAAAACAGAGGCTTTGAGCCGCTGATAAAAGCCGATTTCACCAACAGAAAGTACACAGAGGAAGCCTAGTTGTCACCTGTTGTTCTGGAAATGCACTTCAGCTGCACATTTCTTATCTCAGAGCGATGGAGGTGCATGACAGTCTACAACATAGGCTTGAAAAAAAAAAATCCTGTAACTGAATGAAAAATTCTGTCTGATTACATGATAGAACAACTTGAATCATAGACTATTCACCTAGATTTATGTACAGCATTCTCTATTTTTGTTCTTTTGTAAAATATAGCCCTGATTTTAATCCTTCTATATTTTTGCCTTTTACAAACTTTGCATGAGCAGGAATCTATTGAAAAAGGTTTTATTAACAATTTCTTTTCAAGAACAGAACAAAACAAGAATGCAAACGGCTTAATTGCACTGAAAAAACTGTAAGGCATATTTCCTCCCCTCTTCAGGTTGAAATCACTTTCAAACTCCAAAACATAACCTGTTTTAGAATTGATGCTATTCAGTACTGCATTGTTTTTTTAAACATTTTATTGCAAAAATATTAAAAGTTTAATGATACAAAACATAAAAAGGGCATCCTGTGAGATCAATAGTCTTAATAAAACGAATCGCTTTGGGTGAAACACGTGTTTTCTCACTGTTTTTCCTGTTTGAATGTAAATTCAGACAATGAAGAAAAAGCTCGATGAAGAATCACCGGCACACTGAGAATGGCATAATTCAGGCTAATTCTGTGGAAATGAAAGCTTAGCTGGCCTGCTGGTTATGAACCTGTTGGGCTCTCAGAGAACACTGAACGTACACACAGGCAGGGTTTTTGTCCGCACCCCTCAGCAGTGCCAGGCCTCTCACATTCTCTGTAAGTATGCTCTACTGAGGAGCTTCACCGGAGCATTCAGCCCTGTCCAGTCCCCACAGATTCTCATTTCACAGGTGACTGTGGTCGGCTTCAAGCCTGTCTGTGCTGCAGACATAACCATTCAAGCTTCCCAGATAAATTTAGACTCATTTCTTAGCATTTCCACCAACCAAAATATGTGCTCTTTCCTGCTGCCTCTCTTAAATATACCCCACACCTCTTAAAACTATGTAAATAAACATCTTTTTTAAATCAGTATTCCAACTTTTCAAAATATCAGCGTTAGTTTAAATAGCTGTTTACCCCCCAAACTATGACAACAGTCAACGAATGAACAAGGAACACATTTCTATGTTTCTATATGCAGTTCCTGTATTGATAAAAAACATAAAAATGTTTTGTTTTTTTAAATGGTTCAGCATTCTGAGGATGCAGCACAAAAACATTGCAGGCCCCAATTAATTTAAATTAATAGAGTTTACAGCAGTATAAAAACTGTATTGTATAGATATGCTCTTCTAGTGCAAGGTACATGTTCATTCACCAATAACATTCAGGATAACATCTTCATTACATCTGCTTTCTGTATGATTCAGGCGGAACATGTCAGTGGAATATATTTAATTTGTTCATTTAGTGGTTTTGCACCAGTGGTGTTAAATACTGATGTTTCTGAGTAACGTTTCAGATAAATATCTTTAAAATCGTGTCATAAATACTGCTTTGTTAGTTAAGCCCTCTGATAAATTTTACAGGGGGTGCATGTAGCCAATGCTGTCACTAAAATTATTTTTGATACAGTGATAAAAACATGGCTGCACCTTTTTTGAAAAAAAAAATGGAAAACTGCTTCCTAAAGTGATAGTTCAGGCATTTTGAAGCAAAGCTCTGTTAAAAAGTAGRTAAAAGTGAATAACCTGCTGCTGAAAATAGCTCTCTGAACAATCTAAGTTTGAAGAAATATTTTGTTTAATTTTGACATCCGGGGTTAGCATGTGAAAGGAGCAAAGCGCAAAATAGACAGCTGCCATCTTTAAGCATGGTTAATCTTTTTACATTGTTCAAGATAACAGTATTTTTGATGTGTTTATACGAATGCCAATTTCATTTTACATGTTTATTTGGAAAAAAAATTGTGGTTATCTGCAAAACAACATAGCATCACCAGCAGCTAGCTGTAGCACTTTTAGTGCAGCCTGGGGTACCTTAATAGGAACATTGTAACGTTTCTGCTTGAATGACCATTGTACAGAAACTGACAGCAGTGTGCGGCTTTATAAAAACAGTATTTGGTGAACTGCTATGAGTTGTTTTAAAGGGATAGTTTGCTCATTTTTTTTAATTATGTTCTTTCAGTTATAATAGTCAGCCATCTAGCACGAAGTGTGAAATCAATGATAGAGGTCTTCCTCCAGGCTATGCTAACAGCTAGCCAAACACTGGCCTCTTTCATTTAAATTTTCAGGCCGTCATAAATTTGCCCCAAAAAAGCTATGTTAGGTCATATTAAACCTTTGCATGACACTATTCGCTTGTTGCTGTTTCTACAAATTGAGGTCGTTCAAAGAACTATCTACAACTGGTAAGATATTCATTGTTCACAACCTTTCCACAGAACCCTACTTTCAAAGATCTGATTCATCTCTTTAAATAATTCTGTCCAGAACTGCCTACTGCAGAAGCTAAGCTACAAAAATCGGCATGTGTGATATTGTTGCAGATATTGAATTTGTTGCAAGGCAAATGAGGATATAAAATGTTAACTCTTGTAGTGAGATTTAGCCCAAGGCCACTCCTGAGCAGATGCTGTGAATATCTAAACAGCTCTGCGGAGCCTTGCTTTAAAAAAATAAACTGAAAATAGTGCAGTTACAACCAAGCAAAACATGACTGAGAATAATGACAAACACAGCTCTGTGGATGCATTTGATCTAAAAAAAAAAAGACAATTGGGAAAAATGAAGATCCATTTTTAGTCAAAAACCCACATTTTCTCTAATTCTGTGGCATTTACATGATTAACCCTTTTTGAATATATAAATTGAAACCTTTACAAAGCTCCTTGTAGCTCTGCATGGTGCATCAATGACCACATCTTTACCAGATTTTCAGACAAAATATTTTCCATAAAAAATAAAAATAAAACAAAGTGCGTGTTATATTTTTCCACATGAAAACTGCCATGTGTGCAAGAAATGTGTAGATTTCTTTTAAATCTCTGAAGCAGAGTTTGTTAGATCAGCATCAGATGTGAAATGATGCCATGAAATATCAACTCAGGGGTTGGCACTGCATGATCTTTGGAAAAGTAGGAAAATCATGATGGATGACTACGCATCTACTACTCTCAGAGCAGACTCCCGTAGCATCAAAGCTGACGGCCCGAACGCCGCCAGCGTGACTGGAGCTCCAATCTGCTTGAATACAAAAATAATAGGAGAGGAAACTGCTGTTCGTGTTTAGCTYGTTGCTCCAGTATTATCTCCATTGCCAGTGCAGAGTTAGCGCTAAGAGGGCCAACGTGGTCGGCAGAGCTACAGAGGGAGCACGGAGCGGGGCAGAGTCCTCCACGGGCCCGCTCCGGTCGGCCTTCACCACCAGGATCTCTGTGGCGGCACGGTACGTTTCTGTGGTGCAGGCCTCTGTGCAGCCGCTTCCACTGCCTGAGCCACTACCTTCATCGCCTGAAAGATCACAACAAAATACAAACCAGGTTGAGTATCACAGCTTCAGTAAATATTTTTTTTAAAAAAAGGTTTAAAACCATTTTTTTAAATATCACATATTACAACTGCTCAGGTTCATTTTATATCATCCCAAATCATTTTTGTAAATCCACCTTAAGTGACCAAATCTTATTAGGGAGCATGTGCCAGYTTAACATATAAATAAACTCGGCTTCTGCTACTTTTCTCCAGAGCCACCATCCCAGAAGCTAAGGAAAAACAACCCAACAAGTCCARCCCCATATCTATAATAAATAATAAGTTATGTTGCTCAGATTATTAGTTTTGTAAAAGAAAAAAATCATCTGATAATTTTATGGATTTAATGCAAATAGTAAATGCAAATCAAGCTTTTTTCCTTTTACCAGCTTGGATTAAATATTCAGGACCTCATTTTATCACCAGAAGGTGGCAGAATAATCAACATTACACATACAGTACATGCATACATGTACAGTACAATAAGTGTATCCTAAGTGTAGGATGTGTAAAATCAGAATATACTATAAATAAGAATCTTAATGTTTTTATAAAAGTGACACTTCAGATATTTTCCTGATGTCTCTGTATAGTTGCATTTCCCATATGCTCCTATTATTATGAAAAATACCTAAATCAACTAAAACAAGCATTTAAACTGTTGTTAAATAATTGTTTGAATGGCAACATTTGTGAATCTACTCTTTCTAACAGCTAGACTGTATTGTTTAAATAAGGCTTGACTGAATCAGAATGGTTTATTTTCTGCCACAGTTTCTATCCATCCATTATCTATGCCAGCTTCTTCCTTCAGGGTCACGGGGGTCACTGGTGCCCATATCCAGCAGTCACTGTGCGAGGGGCGGGGTACACCCTGGACAGGTCATAAGTCCATCACATAGAGACAAACGAGACACTAGGGACAATTTAGAGTTACCGATTCACCTAACAATCCATTTTTTTGGTCTTTGGGAGGAAGCCGGAGTACCCAGAGAAAACCCATGCATGCATGGGGAGAACATGAAAACTCCCCAGGCCAGGATTCAATCTGGCAACCTCTTGCTGAGAGGCATCAGCTCTACAACTGAGCCACCAGGCACAATTTATAAAAAAGCAGCATTTTGACAAATTTGTGTGCATGGTAAAAAYGACCAAAAGCTTACTGATGTCTTGAAAGTTGATGTCATTGCCATTGTAGGCATTTTTCAACTTGTTGGTCATCACCCGCAGAGCCATGATTTGCTGACGGATGACGGTGTCCGGACGTGTGATGTCGACAGCCACCTCAGGGTTATTCACCTGGTTGGTAAGGCCATCTTTCTGGACTTCAGGGAAGTACCTGAGAAACAACAGACAGGCACCTGCTTTACAGAGATATCACAGACTCACACACAAGACCAGGAAGGACCTGAAGAAACATTTGGACCGATTTCTGCAGACTGTGTTGCTCTACCCCCTGTTAGGGTTTGACTTCTTTTAACAAACTGACCTTCAGCGGGTAAAATAAGTATTGAACATGTCAACATTTTTCTCAGTTAATTTATTAATAGAGGTGC